TACAAACTCACCTGCACGTAAAGGTCGTTATTTAAATCATCTCAGAATGCATGGAATTAGAAATCCGTGTAAAATTCCATTACCAAATAAGACACGATGGAATTCATGGTTTAAAATGGTATTTTATGCCAAAGATCATATTGAATATTGGGCTTCTTTTTATTTAGAAGAACATGAAAGAGATGCAAGTCACAATTTAGTTGCTGAAATTAACAAGATTTTACAGAATAGACAAAAAAAAGACACGATTACTATTTATATTAATTTTATTTCATGTTACGCACAAGAATTTGTTCATGATCTAGATTTTTTTCAGCAACAAAATAAGCCAATATTTCCTTATATTGAGGGACGGCTTGTACAACTTTCATCATTTATAGAAGAAAATATCATAGCACAAGATTTTGGGGCCGATTTGCATGATCTTATTACACAATTTTATTTTAATCCAGAGGATTTTATAAAATTTTTCAATCTGCATTTGTTGTTGCATATAATAAATATGCAGTACATATTCCACAGCATCCTGCTCGTTCTTTATTTCGTGCATGTCGCATCTTTGATCCCTTATATATTAAAATAGGAAATCAAATAGGTTGATATCTCTCGCAGAGATATTCGTCGATACTTAGCAATTACTGAATTCAACAATTTATCAAATGAACTTTTACAAGAATGGACAATTTATTTTGGATCTGTTAATGAAGTAACTCAAGAAATGACTAATCTTCATGAATATTGGATAGGAATGCGATCAATTTTACCAAATTTATCAGAAATAGCATTAAATTATATTTGGCTTCCAGCTTCTAGTTGCAGTGTTGAACGTAGTTTTTCTATGTATAACAATATTTTAAATAATGATCATTAAAGTCTTTCACTTGATTCTTTAAAACAACTGAACATGTTATATTTTAATGGCGAATAATTGTTTTTTATTTTTTTTTATTTTTTTTTTCTTCTATTTTTTTTTTAAATATCGAATATGCAAAAAATCAGCTTTATTTTCATTTAGAAGTTAGGAATTAGCAGCATGAATTTTTTTTTAAATTTTTTATTATTATTATTTTTAAAAAATATAACACGAATTGTTTTTGACATAAATAAATTTTTTTTACATATAAGCGCATTAAGTCACAGAATTAGCATTATATCGCCACAGAATTGCACAGAAATTAATGAAATTGCACAGAATTCATAAAAAAAATTTACCGCAGTGAATCACAGAATTTGCCTTAACCACACGCAGAATTTGGGTTTAACCACCGCAGAAAATCATCGGCCCTGGGTTAATACTGTTTGATTTTTGAAACTAAATAGATAAACTTATATACTTACGATAGAACAATGAAATAAGAATTTAAAATTTTTATTTGAGCATTTTAAAGTAATACATTTAACAATTTTTTATTGTATAGTTTTTTTTTAAAGCCTTTACTTGATGTCGGTTTAAATTTTCACGATACATTCCGCGTTGTTAAAAAATGATATAAATAAGATCTGCTATGTCTTTGACATTATGTTTTGTTTTAGAAACCATAATCATATCAGAATTCGCGGTGTATTTTAATTCATAATTGTCACGGTCAAGAGTGGCAACACGACGAAAGTTGGGACCTGAGATATGTGGTGCCGGGAATAAATGTGGAAGGGAAATTCAATTAAGGGAGGGATAATGAGTCCATAAAAAAAAAAAAAAAAACTATGCTTAAAAGAATAAATAAGTATTTGTCGCGTTTGAAAGGTTTCGCGTATGAGAACGTGATCTCGTGATCACGTGTATGATCGATTGTGTCACGGATCGGTGAAAAATCGGGATCAGTCGGAATTAAGTATTATCAGTCAATGCGCATGAAATAATATGTAATTAAGAATAGTCAAAAATAACATATGATCAATTATGAGGTAATGAGAATAGTAAAAGTGTCGTATAATTCTTATGCCGCATTAATTTTAAGGAAAAGTCAAAGGAGTGCATGAGAGTGACAATGTGATGTAATTGATTTATAGTCTAATTGAATGTATATAAGGAATTAAAGAAAAATAAAAATTAGGTTTTCGACCTTTCGCTTACACAAAAGAAATACTGAAAAAAACTGTTAAAAAACCACTCTGGCTTGAGTGGGTGGTGTGTTACTTGATTTCAACGGTAAAGACCTACGTATTCAGTGAGGGCCACGACAATAATGTAAGACTAGTCGTTATTGAACATGTCATTATGTTAAATATATGGCTAAATGTAACTCCGTTACAATTGGTTAGAACTATATGGGGTCTTTGCCCTGAAAATCACGTTATGGGACATAGTAAATCACATGTTCCATAACGCAATATTTTTTTCAAGGCAAAGACTCCATATTTACATTGAATAGAATAGTATTTTCCAAATTTTCATTAACACTATAGGCATCCGACCATCAGAATTAGATTTATTGAAGGAACTGAACATCGCCAATAGCAAATAAGGATTTTAAATTATTTGTTTTGAAGTTAATTTTAACACTAGTTTTATAATTTGGTCATCTGACTTTTACGTAATTTGATTATTGCAATAGTTTAGTTTTAATTAATATTACTATAATTATTTACTATATAGTTATGGTATTTTTTATTTTAACAGTTTTACAGCTGATTTGAAAATAAAAGTGTTGTATTCGATAATATAAATTTAGGCCGATACAAAATTATACCGAAATAATGTACCGGCCGAAATTTTTATTATCGAAAACTATTACCGATGATCATCACAAAATTCATCACGCATCCAAATAAGCTGTAATTACGATTCAAAAAATAATGACGATATATGTTATTCGGCATTACTAATGCTTTCAAATTCTTCATACTGAATTATTCATATTTAAGCAAGATAGAATTAATTTAAGAACGCAAGTTTCTTATAATGAAAACTTTTATAAAGAGATTTATTTGTATTGCACAACAATAACCGAACATGGGGGTGAAGACAACATGTGGCATTAAATCATGCTCTTGAAAATAATAATAATAATAATAATAATAATAATAATAATAATAATAATAAAATATGCTAAAAAATGTTCTACGTGATAATGCAAAAATTCCTAATTACGCTACTAATATATATATAAATATTTAAATACATTAGTTTGATATATGCAAATTTTGGTTGTATTTAATATTTAGATAAGGATATAATAATTTTTTTTTTTATTGGTCACTTTTTTTTTAATTCTTTTTGGCCTTAAATTTTTCTTTTTTATTTAATTATTTTTTTACAGTGGCATAAGTTTTTTTATTATTACTGTAGTAGTAGTAAGCAGTTACTTTGGATTATTAAAGTGTAAATGATTTTTCAGTAACATTTAATGGAAATTTTGCGATAGTTGTAGATCATAATAATTTAGCCATTGAGATTTTGACATGATTACAAATGGCAAAAGTTATAGAAACATAATGAATGCTCTTAATTCCGTATATAATTTTTTCTCGGGAAAGGTAATATTAAAATATTTTGTCTTATTAAAAATTTCTGATACTTACTAAATGAAACCCATGAAATTCTAGATAATAACAATACACTAAATGAAATTGCTAAAATAATTATGAGACTATATATTCCTAACATGGTGAAAATTTTAAGAAACAATCTAAAGCTAGTAATAACTTACAATTGAACATTCAGAAATATCTATTCAAGAAAGCAGTGAACAATCTTCAAGTTTTGATATAGAGGAAAACAGTACAAATAAAATTACAATTTTGATATTCCCGAATCCATAACCCAACTTTAGACCATGAAGAAAATGATTAAATATTTGGCCAATAATTTAATATAAATATTATTTTACCGCTTAAAATGAAAATTAATTTTAGATTTTATGCACAGATAAGACCAGACCAATTTGATTTTTCTGTTTTACATAACCCCATCCCTTAATTTTTTAAAACTATAAAAACCAATACACATATTATTAAAAAATCCTCCTCTATTTTCTAAAATCTATATAAGCCACTATATACCGTCAGACCTCTCCAAATACATAGCTGTGGGCAGCCAAAAAGTCTTGCATTTAGAGAGGCAAAAATCTATAAATGTTATATGAGTTGGGACAAAACAAGGCCATGTAGTTAAAGAATATAGGTTTGACTGTATTAAATTAGCCAATAAAACTGCAGAATTTGGTTTTCTGGATTAAGTTTAATTCCGAATAAGATGAAGTAGTATTTTCTTTTAGACATATAAAAAAAGAATCTTAATGCACAAGAATAAAAAATCATTCATAATCTTCTGGTATTTCAAAATTAATCAACTTGCTAGTCTCGACATCATCTATTTTTATTTTTGCGAGCATTTCCGTGATCTTGCATGTGTTTATGAACTTACTCGTATACATATGATCTGGGTGTTTATATATATTAACTGGCAATTTTTTAATATTTTATCAGCATCCAAGAATTGCTTTTTAATTATATTCAAATTGTCAAAACTTTTCATTATCTCAATCCATTCATTAAGTTTAGTTAAAATATAATAGCTGGTAGGACATTTATTAGGATCAAGATCCATGCATTGTTTTGCCAATTCAACGTAACAATGGGGAGTTTCATGAGCGAATTCAGGTTGCAATCCATTACAAATTTTTATAGCAAGTTTAACATCAAATTTATAATCTTCAAAAGGTCTCATACCAGTTGTCATTTCTACTATTATAACTCCGAAGCTGTAAATGTCTGTAGCTTTTGTAAACTGTTGACCTACCAAAGCTTCTGGAGCAATATATGGTATAACTCTATAAAGGTCTTCTGAACCATCTTGATCGACCTTTTTAGACAATCCAAGATCTGAGATGTAAGATTGAATCTCTTCATCATTATCTTGCAATATATTACCTGGGTGTAAATCTGTATGAAATATCCTGCATCATGAATAAAAATTAAATCCTTACATACATCTTTAAGTTGTTTTAATTTAGATTCCCATGTAAACTCATTAAAATTTAATTTTAGAAAATTATGAATATTTCCACCATTAGCATATTGAAACACCATCAAGTATTTATCAGTGTTTGTATTTTGTGTCAATCCATATATTTTAAGTCTACTTCCAAAAAATGCACACTGTATATGATTTTTAAATTCTTTTAAAAAATCAAAAGATTTCCTATTACAAGATAATGTTTTGAGTGCAATAGTAAAAACTTCGCATATCTTCATATAATTCTCCTTACTTCTCTTAATCTTTCGTATACTATCCAACCAAATAGCAGAAAACACTGAGCCAAACCCTCCTTCACCTATTTTTTTAATATTATCTAATCTACTAAATGGAATCCACTCAATCACGTACTCATAGGAAGTAGCTCTAAGTTGAAATTCTTTAATGCAATTGTCAATATCCTTATTCTTACTTGTCCACCATTGTGTATTTATATCTGGTTCACATGCTTGACACCATATTTTATACCTATTATCTTGATTGCAATTCACACATTTTCCATAATCTGAATTCCGAACATAATCATACCTAAAAGGTTTGCTATGATATCGATAACGGGGTGGTAAAAAACAAGAAGGCAAAAGATTGTTATTATCATAGCGAAGAAAACGATTGTGATCAAAAAGAGGTAAAAAGTCAAAATCCCTATATTCTTCGAAAGTATTATAATAACGAAAATCATTATTTTTACCAAGAAAAGAATTATAAATATGATTTTGAAACATTTGTTCATCTTCTTTAAACATTCCTTCAAATTGATAAAGATTATTTAAAATACCATCATCAAAAAAGACCAAGATTATGATGTTGTTAAAAAAGGTTGTGATCATAACGATTAGGCAAAAAATAATCTTTTTAATCTAAAATTTATATAAACTATTATTCCTTTCTATACCGATTCTGTATCTATAGCAAACAGCAGTGTTAAAAATTCCTATAGAATTACCAGCTTGCGCTGACTTTGAAAAATTCACAAATGCTTTTCGCTCATCTTTATCAACACCAATTCCCCAATTGTAACAAAAACCTGTCCAAAACAATCCATCTCCATCTTCTAATTCAGCAGCCTTATAATAGTATTCAAATGCTTTTTGTGGGTTTTTCTTAACACCTACACCATACTAGTGCTGCCAGCCCAAGTAGTAGAGCTGTTTGCCGGTTGATTCCATACCCTTCTCAGAAAAAGACAACAAAGCTCAATTTTTTGACTTGCATAAAACAAATTGTTTAAATAGTGTGTAACCTTGTTACATATAAATAATAATTCTGTGTAATTTGCCACCATTTATTGCTGACTAAATACATTAAACCAGAATTCTACATCTGAAAATGATCTAAATCCAGAATGTTCCAAATAAAAAAAGTTATTGTTGTTATTCCATTTTTTAAAAAATATGGTAATATTGCACATAATTACAAATCAGATAATTTATGCTCGTTTTTATTTCAAAATAAGCAATCTTGGCCTGCACTATATCGATTTTGGCCTGCATTATGTTGATCTTGGCCAGCATTACATGCAAAAAAAAGGGTGCTTAATTTCATATTACTGTAATATGGTATGGTATACCGGGTACCTAAATTTATTTTAGATCGCATGATATGATTGTTTGAAACGAAGCAGAGATACTAATATATATACATTAAATTTAGAGGCCTGTTATTGCCACCCCTCTTTTGTTAATGCCACCCCACTTCCGACCTCCGGACCCATTATTATGTAACAAAAGCAAAGTGTAGATCCTGTGACCGCCATACTAATATAGGCCATTCAAGTTTAAAAAATCAGACCAGCTTTTTGAACCAGCTTCTGGTCTAAAAATAACCCGATTAGGTTCTCAGAACCAACTTCTGGTTCAAAAGTAACCCAATTCGGGTTCTTTGAGCCAAATTCTGGTTTAAAAGTAACCCAATCGGGTTCTTTAAACCAAATTCTGGTTTAAAAATAACTCGGTTTGGGTTCTTAGAACCAAATTCTGGTTTAAAAGTAACTTGATTTAGGTTCTTTGAACCAAATTCTGGTTTAAAAGTAACCGATTCAGGTTCTTTGAATCAACTTCTGGTTCAAAAGTGACCCGATTCAGGTTCTTTGAACCAAATTCTGGTTTAAAAGTAACCTGAGTTCGGTTTCTTTAAACCAAATCCTGGTTTAAAAGTAACCTGAGTTGGGTTCTTTGAGCCAATTTCTGTTTTAAAAGTACCCTGAATTGGGTTCTTTGAGACAAATTCTGGTTTAAAAGTACCCAATTTGGGTTCTTTGAACAACTTCTGGTTCAAAAGTGACCCAATTCAGGTTCTTTGAACTAAATTCTGGTTTAAAAGTAACCTGATTTGGGTTCTTAGAACCAAATTCTGGTTTAAAAGTAACCCAATTTGGGTCCTTTGAACCAAATTCTGGTTTACAAATAACCGATTCGGGTTCTTTGAACCAACTTCTAGTCCAAAAGTGACCCAATTCGGGTTCTTTGAACCAAATTCTGGTTTAAAAGTAACCCAATTTCGGGTTTTTTAAACCAAATTCTGTTTTAAAAGTAACCTGAATTGGGTTCTTTGAGCCAAATTCTGGTTTAAAAGTATCTTTAATTAGGTTCTTTGAGCCAAATTCTGGCTTAAAAGTACCTGATTCAGGTTCTTTGAACCACTTCTGTTCAAAAGTGACCCAATTCAGGTTCTTTGAACTAAATTCTGGGTTAAAAGTAACCTGATTTGGGTTCTTTATTATCTTTACAGTATTATGATTCATAAAACAGATTATAGATCACCTATGAGTTATAACAATTGCCAGATAATAAATGAGAAAAGCTGTATTTTATGCTTGAAGTGCTCTAAATATTGATTATGAAAAATAATTAATTTTATAATTCAGTGCCCGACAAAAGTTTCCCTGCACCTATATCTCCTCATAATGAGGTGCTACGACTTTAAAAATTTCAGAAATATTAGTATATACTCAGATTAGATTGTGTATTTCATTTGAAGATTTTTTAATCACTATAAATAAATTTAGATAAGAGCCAAAGTTGGAATATTTTTCATCTAAAAAAATAATTGTATTCAAAGAAAATTTAATATTTCATCAAGGCTTAAAGCTAAAACTTCTAAAAATTAATATTTTAAACTTCAATGATTTCTGTATTAGTGACAAAAAATTTGACTCAATTTAATGAGATAATTATTGAGAAATTTATTTTTAAAGTTTTGAGTTTTATTTTAATTTGTTGAGACCTGACTCTTTTTGTATTGCATAACGTTTTTCACGAATATCACATGTTTCTAACAATTCAAATTTGATGATTTTGCTATTATCGAATTGTCTCAACAGATAATTCAAATAATACCAAAATCATCAAATTTGGATTACTAGATATTGAGATGTTTTCAATAGAAAAGCTTTTACTTTGTAAATTTTAAAAATAAAGTTCAAATTTTAAAAAATTAATTTCTCAACAATTATCTTATCAAATTGGGCCAAATTTTTTATCACCAATACAGAAATCATTGAATTTTTATATGCTAATTTTTAGAATTTTTAGCTTTAAGCCTTAATAATGTATTAATTTTTCTTTGAATTAAATTTATTTATTTATTTTTTTAAAAAAAACATCCCGACTTTAGCTCTTATCTAAAAATTTTTTCTAGTATTTAAAACTCTTTTTAAAAAAATATACAATTTAAATTACATATGTAATAATGTTTTTGAAAGTTTCAAGGTTGTAGTACCTCTCTATGAGTGCGGAGAAACTTTTGTCAGGCACTGTAGTTAATAATATTAGCTGTCCCTTGCTTTATGTAATAGCATATTTTAATTAAAAATTTCCATGTCTATAAATACTATGTTAATTAATGTTAGCATACTAAATTATGCAGTGTAGAAGTTAAGTCACTAATTAATTATCACAGTTTTTAAAAATTTTGTATTCTTATATGATTAGTATTATTTTTTAGTGATATATCCTGCATTCAAAAACAATAATAAAGTAAAAACTAGCCATTATAGCAGATTTGTCAAAGTTAACTAATTTTTGGTTCCCAATTTTAAGTTTTGGGGACAAATTTAATATTAATTTTCTAAGATCAAACCCTCAAAAAAAAATTAGTAATACTCTGATCTATAATAACAATATGTCTAATCTATTTTCCCACTATCACAACTCATTTTAAATTTATATACAATTGAGTGAACCTATTTTAGTAAATTTATTTTAAATCTCTGTACAATTCAGATACCCATTTAAATTTCTGTGCAATTAAGTGAACCCATTTTTAGTTCTGTATAATTCAGATAACCCATTTTCTTTATAGTGACTTTCATTTAATTGTACAATCTATGGAATAATTTGAATTTTCCTTGCCAACTTCTTTTATTTTAAATTAATAGTTAAAAATATTTGTATATATGTTTTATTTTTATATTATTAATATTATATGTATAGTATATTATTGTTTAGATCAATACAATTATATATATAATAAAAATATTATATCATATGTATATCAATTAGATAACTCACAATTACTTAGCTGAAACCTTGAAAAATTTAACAATACAATTATTATGTTATTATTATATGATTTATATATTATTATTTTACAGTTATAGGTTTTAACAATACAATTACAATATAGTTACAATGCAATTTAATTTAATATATTAAAATTGTATTATAAATATATTGTAAACATGTTGTAACCATATTTTAATTAATTGTATTATTATTATATAATTAATTATATTAAAATAATATTATAATCATATTTTAAAAACACTTTTACTAAAACACACCTATGGTGTTTTTACACCATAGGTCCCGTTTCTTAAAAATGTACTAAGTAAATGGGATTGGGTCCTCTAAGTAAAAATGTTCAGGACCCCAAAAACCTCACGAGAACTAAGATCAGGCCCTATTGGGCCCTTATATTAGCTCTATAATATATTATATAAAAAAATAATAATTCTTAATTTTCTAACTCTAACCCTAAATTTTATTAAAGAAATTATACATAGGTGCTAAAACACTATAGGTGCGTTTTATAATAATTGTTTTAAAAATATTGTAATATATAAAATTAATAAGTTGTACAATGCTATATAAAAATGCAAATAATAATATATAATTTATATAATTTTTTATTTTTTTTTATTATTACTTCAGCAAGTCTAGACATGACTTGGTCCAGCTATCTTTATAGTTGACTCTATGCTACTAGTGTTACAGGACCTCCATAATCCCTATACTGGAATTATGTGTATCTACCTGGGATCCATTTCCCACCATTTCTCCAGTTCCCTCATTGGGGCCTAGATCCGACTACCTTCACAACACTCCGGAGAGATCAAAATACCTTAATATTAGACTGGGATTTCACCAGCTAATCTGGTGGTGCCACGAGTTTTTGTAGTATCTTCTCAGACTTTGGCCTCATAGTATGTCTCATAACTTTGGTTATTTCAAATCGGAGTTCTAACACGCCTTGCTTCACAGCCACAACTTTTCAAAATAACTATTCCCCGAATATATCCATCCGTAGATGTCCCGAGTTCCCTGTACCTCGCGGTGTTTTACTTCTATATTTGGGTTTTCATTATTTCGCCGCTGGGAGGAATTGAACCAGCAACCGTCCGATTTGCAACCTGGGAGCATAATCGCTATGCTATTGATCTGCAGGTTTATAATTTATATAATAATAATATATAATAATATAATAATAATATAAAAATTATATAATTTATAAATTGTATTATTATAATATTAAAATTATATTATTTTAATATAATAATTATATTGTTAAATTTTTCAAGATTTCAGCTAAGTAGTAGTCAAATTTTTCA